GCTCCCCCTAGTGCTGGAAACCTGCCCCCCCACCGCAGGTCCAGACATGTGTGCCAGCAGTCCAAGCTGTATGCCCAGCGCCTTCTGTTACCCTCTGTCAGGCACCGCAGGGGTGTGTGGGTGGGGTGGTACCACCCCAGCAAGGCCTGGCCCCTCCCCCAGCTTCTGATTTCCCAACCCCCACATAGTTCCCCAGCCTTCCCCAGCTTCCCTCCTGTGTGCCAGTTCCCTGCAAGACCTCAGCTCTGATGCTTTCTCCCTCCCTCCCCCACCCCAAATTCCTCTAGTTCCAGGATGCCCTATGGCCCTCCCATCTTCAGAAAGTGGGGGTGCCAGTGTCTGTTCCGGCTGTTCCCAGACTTAGGCTTAGGATGCTGCCGGGGAGTTCTGGGATCAGGGATCAGGTTTCCTTCCTGAGATGGACACTGTCTCCTGCACTAGGCTGAGAGCTCCTGGTGGCGGCCTGTGCTGCTGCTTCTCCCTGCCACATGCCAGCAAGGTGGCAGATGTAGAATTTGAACCCAGTGAGAAGGAAACACAGGTGTGTTTAGTCCAGTGGACCAGCTCCCTCCAGGGCTTAGACCTGCTGGGTCCTGGGTGCATCCCCGTGCTCTCGCTCAGCCCAACCATACCATCTGGGGTCAGTCCCTACAGCAGCAGTTTGCAAAGAGAGGCCCAGGGACACCTGCACGCATCCAGACCCTTCCATCAGACTATGAGGTCAAAACTGTTTTCTTAACAGTATTGTTATTTGTCCTTTATTCTCTCAAAAGAATACAGTGGATTATTTGAGAAGCTACTGATGTGTGATGACGTCATCCCTCTGACAGCTACTGGAATGTGTGCTTGAATTTAAGCTTTTTTCAGCTTTAATTTCGAATAAGATTGATATCCAGGGGCATCACCCACAGGATCAAAAGCTCTTTGGGTTCCACACGAAGAGTGTGAGGCGCACTGTCCTGGAGGATTCCGTCCTCTGTCCCCCGGCCGTGGCTGCCTTTCCCTAACCTGCTCCCCATGTCCCTGGCTCCTCTCAGCCTCCTTGAATGTCATCACACTCAGAAGCCAGCCCCGCCAGAGCCTGGTGTGAGTCCTCGCCAGAGTGAATCATAACTGCTAAATGTTTTATCCTTGTTTGTGGACCAGTTTATTGGCGGTCTCCCCTTCTAGAACAGAGCAGGGAGGATCCTTTCTGTCTGTCTGCCTGTCTGTCTGCATCACCACCATGTCCCCAGGGCCAGGCATCAGGTGTGTGTTCTATGAAAGCGTCAAGCTGCTATGCCCAGACAGGCCAAGTGTCCGTGATAGCCGGTGGCAGTCTGGGCTGGCCCCCTCCCTCACTCCAGGCCGCCGTCACCCACACCTCGTCCTGTCGATCGCTGCAGATCTTGGTGGCCCTGACATCACCTCACGTGCCTCACAGAGTTGCAGACAGAAGCCCCCAACAAGGGCCCAGGATTCTTGGGCAGCAGGGCAGAATCTGCATTTGGCTGGCTCCCTGACTAGCTCAACTCTGAGAAAACCGAGTGACACGAACAGTGGATGAGATCCACGTCCCTTTCAGGAGGGAGTGTGGTGTGTGCCAAGGACTGCTTGCGTTTGACCCCGCAGAACCACCCTGTGGGCCCCACTGTGAAGATGGGCGGTGTGTTCATTTCCTGGGGCTCCTGAAACGGACGCCGCAAACTGGGTGTCGCAAACGGAAAAGTCTTTTCTCTCCGTTTTGGAGGACAGAAGTCTGAAATCAGGGTGCTGGCAGATTTACTTCCCTCTAGAGGTTCTGAGGGAATCTGTCCCAGGCTTCTCTTTATTCTCTTTATTGGCTTACAGACCGTCCCTCCGATCTCTGCGCTGTCACCACGTGGCTTCTCTGTTCTTGCTCCTTTTCTTTTCTCACAGTCCTTACCATATTTCTGTTTGCAAAGACCCTTTTCCCAAATAAGGTCCCATCCGCAGGTTCCAGGGATCAGGAGTTGGATGTACCTTTGGGGGCGCGAACAGACACTATTCACCCCGCCACAAGCAATGTGGCCCTTGTCTGAGGCCACGCCATGGAGCCTCACCTGTTGGACACCGTATGCCAAGTTCTTGAGCACAGTGCCCGGTTGCATGAAATGAGGTGGCTGTGCTTAAGCCGGACCTCTCCAAGCATTTCATGACAACGTGGGCTGGGAATCTTCTCGTATGTAGTCAACATGTGGTGTGTCTCAACCTTTTTGATTGAGGCTAGAATTTTAAAGAATTATATTTACATAATCCATTTTATTATTATCAAAGAAATAAACATTTGATTTTTAAAAAAAGATGTATAACATGGAAAAGCTTACAATTAAAAGCAGACTCTTCCCACACCAACCCTACTCCTCAGGGACCAATACTGGTCTAACTTTGATTGTCTTAGTGGTTATACCAGAAATTAATTATATAATTTTGTTGCCATTCCTTAATTTATCAAATTAGCTACTATCTGTTAACTCTCTGCCATGCACTTTAAGGGTTTACCTCCTTATTCCTGTCTCCCCCTTCCTGAATTGATGGATATATTCTTATTGTAGCTCTTTCGTTGATTATCTGTATATCTTTTACCTTATTTAGATATTTCCTTCGAGTAGGTTAGGGTGCCTACCTTTCCATTAAATATATAGTCTCTGCTGAGGCCATGAAGTGGGATTGTATGGGTTTTGTCTATAAGATTGATTCTAAATACTGACAGCTTGGGCTGGGGTTTATATCACCGCGACTATAAATACTTCCGTATACAGGAACTGTGCTGGGGTTACCTTCCCTTTTATATCATGGAGTTGTTCTGAAGGATAAATAGTATAACATACTGTAAACCCCTCTGGATTACTCATCATCGTGGGACATTTTAGTTTGCTTCAAACTTGTGCCACAAATTTCTTGCTTGTCTTTTTATTTTCCCTGAAGTTTCTAATTGCCTCTCTTTTTTTCTTTTAATCAAATAGTGTGCGCCTTCACTATGTCCTGAAGTTTACTCAGCCTCCTGATACTCCCTCTGCCTCACGGAAACCTCTTTTTTCTTGGAACTATCCTCCTGTGAGTCTTGGCCACTAAGTCCTGGTCAGCTGCAGTGGCCCCCAGGCTTCTGCCTTGCTTTTGTCCTGAACTGCCCCGTTATTATTCACTCACTCCCCTGACTTCTTGGTTTACTCTCATCTTTTTTTTTTGCTTGAGTGTGACAGGTAGACTTAGAAGACCTTGTATCTCTGTCTTCCAGCACCAATGTGACTTGTGAGAAATCTGGCATTTGTCCCACCCTCATGGATGACCTGTTACTTGTTTCTCCCTCTGTATTAAGTTTTGTGATCTTCTCTTTTTACTCAGTCTTCTGACATTGCAGAAATTCCCCAGCAGGGCCCTTTACTCACTACCCTGCCCACTTCTGTGCCAACCCTTTCCTTGTTTGTTTCCTGTTTTCTTCTTTCTCTACCCTGACAGATATAGCCCTATTGGTTCCTTTGTGATTTTCTCTCTTCCATTTTTCTTTTCACTTGGTACCTCCTATTCATTAGATGTTGCACCTGCAGGGAATGGTTCCCTGAAGCTCCTCTGTTAACTGTTGGGTTTGGGAAACAGTAGTCTGTTCTCCTATTTGTTTTTGAACAAACCCCTCCCCCCAACATAAAGTCAATATAAATAGTAAATAGCCACACACAGCCCCAAATGTCAGCATTACTAGGAGACAGAACACTGCGACGTACACACATTTTCTAGAGCCATTTTTTGTTTCTGTTTTTCTGGACTGTGTCCTTGGCTATTATATTCCCCGCCTTTTTGAAATTTTTGTTTGGGCAATGCTTCTCTCAAATTTTAAACACTATTAAGTTCTCAGAACTTCCTTTCTATGGAACTCTGTTTGTTTTATGCATAAAATTCTGTCTGAAATGTCTCTGGAAACACTAACTAGAATTTTTAGGTTAACATTCTCTTCTGTTTCCTGGCTTCACTCTTCTTCCTCTGGAGTCAGTGTTTTTGTTACTCTTGGCCTTACTTTTTCATACTGCTGGTTTTTCTTGGCCATCCAGCCATCCTTGGGTGTCTTTTATATTTCAGGTTGATGGCCTCATTTGGGGTGAGTGGTGTGGGTTTCCTCTGGCATAGGTGGTTCAGATTCCAGGAGGACTGGCTCTCTGCCTTCTGACCTGAGAGGGAGAGGCAAAGGGGAGCGTTGGAGCAGGAGGGTGGCTGTGTGGCCACCCCTAGTGCCAGAAGAGCTGCATTCTGGGATGCCAGAATCCCCTGCTGGGGCTTCCCAAGTAGTTACTGCCTTTTTTTTTGTAATTTAGATTTTGCCTGTGCAAAAGCTGGCCTGTCCCAAACTGTGAGCACGGGGTGGGAGGAAGGTGCTGATAAAACTGACCTTCCTTAACTCCCTCTGACTGGGTACTCTGGGCAGCCACCCTGCAAGGGTCTGCAGGTAGCCGCTGCAGTCTCCTGCCCTGTTGGCTGTTCCTTTTGGCCTTGTTGGAACTTCTCCGAGACAAAGGACAAAGTGGGAGCCTACCTCACTGAAGCAGACATCTTGGTCATAGACTCCAAAGGCCTGGAAATTGCTCCATCTGACCTGTCCTATCAGAAATGAGACTGAGCAGGGTTTGAGTGGTGGCAGGGTGCTCGGGTTGGGGGATTGTCTCTGCGCCCTGCTGGGGCTCAGAGCTCTGGACTGTGGCTTCCATGGGGCCAGCATGGGGTGCCCGGACTCTTGCAAGCATGTGAACCCACACTGGATCCTCCACCCTTTCTTCCTGGCTCTTATTACTAGAGCCAGAGACCCGGCTGTGTTACTCAGGGCTGTTGTACCCCAGATGCTGCTGATTTGTCCTGGATGTCAGCTTCCATCTTGCCTGTGCCCTGATGGTTATGTGGCAGAGGCTGAGGAGGTGTGGCATGGGCAAGGGGTGGGGGCGGCAGGTATCAGGCCCTGCCCTGGGGTCCGGGAGTGGCAGCGCTGACACTGACCCCCTGCCCTGTCTCTGCAGGTGAGAGGCCCTTCGCCTGCAGCTGGCAGGACTGCAACAAGAAGTTCGCGCGTTCCGACGAGCTGGCGCGGCACTACCGCACGCACACCGGGGAGAAGAAGTTCAGCTGCCCCATCTGCGAGAAGCGCTTCATGCGCAGCGACCACCTGACCAAGCACGCCCGCCGTCATGCCAACTTCCACCCGGGCATGCTGCAGCGGCGCAGCGGGGGCTCGCGGACCGGCTCGCTCAGCGACTACAGCCGCTCCGACGCCAGCAGCCCCACCATCAGCCCGGCCAGCTCGCCCTGAGCGCCCCGCGCCGGCCGGGGGCTTGGCCCTGCCAGGTGGCTCAGGCCCGCCCGCCCCCGGCCCGCCCCGGCCGGCCCAGGACCCCGACTACAGCCATGAGCAGACGCGCTCTCCCCCTCTGCGATGTCTCGTCCTTTTGTAATAAGTAAGAAGAGAGAGGACTTTTTGAAATCAACAACCACAACGAAAACCCAATTTTCTTCACCTCAGGTGTCAAAGTAAATTTGTAAAAAAAAAAAACAAAACAAAAACAAAAAAATTTCGAAAAATACCATCCACAGATTGCACAAGGGACATCCCCACGGAGGTGAGATTCAGCGGTGTTGACCCCCCTTTCTCAGGGATGGACATGTTCCACAAGGTCAGTGAGGACACCCCTTCCTGCCGCCTTACTTTGTATATAGATTTGCACTTGGAGTTGTGTGTTGGCTTCAGAACACACTGGGGACACAGCAGCGAACCAGCGCAGGTGGTGCCCAGTGCCCGGCCTGTGGGTCAGTCCATCGTCAGGCATTTCAGAGTGGACGTGGTCACTGACGTTTGTGCTTCCAGGGCAGATTCTTAAGGGGTGCCCTGCATCTCCCTCCCCTGCCAACCCGCCCAACCTCCAGCCTCTGCCCTGGCGCATGCTAGGCTCAGGACGAAGAAGCTTCAGAGGGATGCCTTAAGCCAGCAGAGCTGGGCAAACAGGCACCCCCCTGGGGAGAGGCAGGAGGCCGCCATCTCCCTCTCCTGCCTCCAGGAGCCTCTCCCCATGGCCTCCTGCAGCACTGGGAGCAGAGAGGCCAGCCCGGTCTGGGCAGACCCTTGCTCCATCCCTTGTCCAGTGTGACGGGCCACCCTCCACCAGCCCTCAGCCTGCAGGAGGTGGGGCGCGTGCCCTGCAAAGAGGTGTCTGCTCCTGTGTGTCCCTACAGTGGGCATCCAGGGACCTTTCACTCTCACCCCACGTTCTCTTACTGGAATATAGAGCCTGGAAGTTCTGGTCCTCGGCAGCACCGTCACCAAGTGGCAAGGGTGCATCCAGTCCCGGCGCCTTTCTCTCAGGCCCACCCTGCTGTCTCCCAGACACTGTTGCTGGAGGAGGTGGGTGAAATCGTCGGGCTGCCTTGCCAGAGGCTCTGCGCCTATGGCCGTGTGTGTGACAGTGGGGGCACTTCACGGAGGCTCTTCTGTGGCAAGAGACTGGAACCTGGTGACTTGGAACTTTTGGGTGTGGTGAATCGGATGTCGTGGGAAATGCTGTCAGGGAGCATGCATTCTGCTTCCTCCCCTGGGAATGCCAGACAGAAAGTTGGGGACACACTTCCCTCTGGCCCACCATGAGGTAGCTGGCCCTGGCTTCTCTAAGGACTTTGCATCCCCTGGATTCCTCCTTTTCCCTCCTGCATCTCCCCTTCCACCTGGGGGTGGAGTGGTCCCAGCCCAGCCCGGCCACCAGCCTTCTGCTAAGAGAAGAAGGGCAGAGAGCTGGGGCAGTTTCTCCCAGAGCCCCCCAGGGCTCCAGCAAGCTCCTCTGGAGACAGGCAGGTGTCCACCCCTAGCCCTGCTGCCCGGGCACTGCCTTCCCTACATCTCCCCCCGCCACCCCAGAGAGTTGGGGCCTGTAAATACAAGCCCCAGGACAGAAGTGTGTATGTGTGTGTGTGTGTATATGTGTGTGTGTGTGTTGGGGCAGGGATGTGGGTTAGGGGGCAAACTTGGGGTATCTTGCAAAGACCTCTGCTCATTTTGATGAAGAAAAATGACCCTTGGGACCTCAGAGGGCCACAGATGGGCTTTCTGGGCCCAGAGTGCCTTGGTTGTGGCTATCCTACTTCTCCCCACCCTCCCATGTTGTGGGGTGCAGCACAAAGAGACTCCAGAGCCCAGGTCTGGCAGGTGCCCGTAGCCATTGCTTCGGGCCACTCTGGAATGGACTGGCGGTTTCTGCCCACAGCCATCCCTAGGGTGGCAGCCTACCGCCTGCAGCACTCCGGGTCCGTTTCTAACTCTCCAGCACAATGGTGGCTGGGACCGGCTGACAGCGTGGTGGTGGTGGCGGCGGCATCTGTGTAGCATGATGGACCCCAAGTGGGGCCCTAGCGGAGTTCCTGCTGCGGGCAGGGGGTGGGACAGGAACAGTGGGGGGAGGGTGGGGCTCTTGGGGGGGTGTTGGCAAGCACCTTGCCTGGCCATGTGCTCCCCTGGGGCTGCCCGATGGCCCTGCTTGCATTTGGCAAGACCTTGGCGGAGAGTGCCCTGGGCGGTTGGGGCGAAAGAGCTTCACGTCCAGTTCCAAAGTGAGGTCCGAATGGGCCCTCGGAGGCCCCTCCCAAAGTTGTTTCTGTGTGAGGCCGAGAAAGCCACACTCTGAATACATTTCACGTCTCAGGAACTCACATTCCAGGTTCAGGAATTTTATTCCAAAGTCCTTTTGGTGTGCTTACCGTCCCCCGGTCCCTGAAGGCAGAGAGAGGGAGCTGCGTGCTGTGGAGGCCGCACAGCGCCCTCCCCGGGAGGAGCCCGGGGTCTCCTTGGGATCTGCCTGTGGCATCTCGGAAGAGGGATTCTGACCCACGTCTGTATGCCATAGACGGGGACAAGGACTCTAAACCCAGACGTCTTGGAATAAAAGAAGAGCTGGTTTGTTTTAGAGGTGGGGTGGGGTGGGGGAGGGGAGGGAAGGTGGGCGTTGGCTGTTTCCAAAGAGAGCACTTAATTTAATTTTTCTTCTAAATGACCCAGGGCTTGTCCGTCTGACAGATGGAAGGGTAACATTGCCTTAAAACAGAAATATGCAGGCGTTGGCTATTTTTGGCAAGTGAGCATGTCTTCATTCCCAAGTGGCTCTGGGTTGATGACAGGGTGTGGCCTTCCAGCCGTGGGCCTGGCCCGGGAGAGCGGGCGCTGCTCTTCTGACTTAGGGCACCTGGAGGAAATTCCTGCCAGACACCCCTGGGCACTGGGCCTGGGGCTTCAGCCAGCGGACTGTGGGCTGTCCTGACTCATCTGGGGCTAAAATTCATCTCACTTGAAGGGTGGGAACAATCCATGAATCTCAGGCTAGGTTCCGATGGGCTCTCGCCAGCCTCTCATCATGAAATGCAGAGTGTGCCTAGGAGGGTGGGGGGCGGGGACAGCCGCCCTCACTCAGGCCCCCGCTGACAGCAGGCGCGCAGGGGTTCCAGAGACAGCCTGTGTCTTCTGCTAAGATGTAGACTGTCTCCCCAGCCTGGGCCTGCTTCAGGTTCTTTCAGTTTTCTGGTTCGTGGCCACGCTTGCTGTCTTCAGTGTGGCTGAGACGCCCAGGGGACGCCCAGGAAGAGTAGTGAACGCTCATACCTTTGTTTTGTGGCAGAATTCAGTTCTGGCAGGCCAAGGGGCCGAGAGGAGCTCAGTGCAAAGGTTGCCTGAGCGGAGGGAGAGGCTCCCCCCACAAAAGGCCTGCAGGTGGCCACCAAAAAAAAAAAAAAAAAAAGCCCATCTTTGCATTAGCCATATTAGGGGACTGCTTGTCAGCTCCCCCTATGCCTGTGGAGTCCTACAGCCACTGGAAAGACCAACGGACACAACACAGCCCCTTCCACAAGGGCCCCGGGTCTTCTCCTGTCGGGTGCTACATCGGGATGGGCAGTGTTGCCCTTGGAGGGAGGGAACGTGGTCTGGGAGGTGCACCACCTGCATCCTGTCGCACCCCTAACCACCACACTTGAGGTGCGGAACCCCTCACCTTTCTTCCAGGCATGCATTGGAGCAGGTGCAGGCTCTGGGTGCAAAAATTAGTGGCACTGGAGTCCCCAGACCTCACCCTGCTGTGGCTCACACTTCAGACCGATAAGGGGTGATCAGAGGTGGAGACAGACGGGGGCGGGGAGGAGTGGCCTCAGGCAGCCCTGCTCACCCCCCCAGCGGTGGTTTGAGTGTACAGAGAGAGCCCGCAGCTGTCTGTGGCCCCAAGTGAGACATGACAGAACTGGTCTCCAGGTCTCCTGCCAGGGCGCCCGCGTCTCCAGCCCCATTCTTGCCAGAAGCAGGTGCTAAGGAGGCGTGCGCAGCACTGCCTGGGAGGCACCCTTGGCCGCAGCTGAGCAGACGCGCTACCTAACAGGGAAACGTGACCTGAGCAATAGTGTCCCCTCGCTTCTCGACACCTGCTCTGGGCTGTGTTTACGAGGCTACCTGATTATGATGATGACTTTTGACAAAGTATCACCGATTTTTTTCCCCCCCAACCCATCCTTTAAAAAGTCATTCAGTCATGTACGCAGAGCTGTAGGGTTTCAGGGTCTATGCATTGGTCACATGACAACCAAGAGGAAATGCTTGGTCACCCCATCTCTTGCTGTCCAAAGATTCCACATATGATTCTCGTGACCATAGTTTCCAAAGCTAAAATCAAGAGTGTGGGCGGACACTTGTGAATTCAGGATCGCCCGGGAAGAACCAGGTCCTGCGACTGATTTTCCTGATGCTGAGGCTGAGGCTGGGTCTCAGAGGTTTGTCCTCACACATTCCAGAGAATTTTGTACTAGAATTCGGATGCACAGTCCAGCTTACTACTGATGAATGCCTGAACATCGTGTAGGGAGAGGCCCTTTCCCAGCTGCCATCTCGTCTGGAAGAGTCGGCCTTGGCAGGCGGCGGGAGCCACAGTTCCAGGGGTGAGGGGGCCGCACTTGCTTTCTCCAGACCCCGTGGGGACAGCCTTGCAGCACGCCCGGCCTCTCCCCTTCTCACACAGCTTTAAAACCTTACTGCTTTTATCTGAAGATGAACCAGATGGGAGAGGACAGTGTCCCCTGCCCTGCACATCACACATTCCCTGTGGGGGGCGCAGCTGCAGCTTTCTCCCGGGGCGCGGGGGCCTTCCTAGTGACCAGTTGGCCAGCGCACACATTCGCTAGGACGCCGATTGTGTGAGCTGCATGCCTGCCCGGCTCGCCCAGGTCTGGCTGAGGCTGTCCCTCTACCCTGGGCATGGGGCTGGCTCAGACATATTGCAGGGGTGTGGTGGGGTG